TAAAAAATTAATTAACTAAAATTAAAATTAAATTAAATTAACGTAAAACCTAAAACTTAACGTTAACGTTAAGTTAGTTTAGGTTAGGGTTTAGTTTTAGTTTAATTTATTATTTGTGTAATTTATTTTATTCATATTTTTATTAGTAGCGTCTCACTACGATATACACACGTTCCAAATTTCAGATCATTCCGATTAGTAAAAAAATTGAAAATTAAAACACTACCGGACAACTGTGACCGTGAGATGAAGTTTGTATGGTGATGAGGGTAGGCGAAATCACTGTTCATTTTCGCATATAGCTATTATGTAGTATCTTCCATTATTTATAAGATACATTTAAACATTATAATATAATCATCATCATCAATCGTCACAGTCTTTTCCAACTATTTGGGGTCGGCTACGCGAATTTTGGTTTGCGATTTTACTCTACTAAGGTTCATACCCTTAGTGTAGCTATAAGTCCCTATATCGTTTCTTACTACTTCCAACTATGTCGCTTTGGGCCCCTTACCCGTTTTGAGTCTTCCACTTAAACTAACTCATACCTCCTAATAGATGTTGTACTGGGTCTATATTTCAAATTCTTGAAATTTTTTGACAAAGTTTTACGTCCCACCTCCTTTACCTAGGCGTGGAACGGGTTAATGAAAAGTTTAAAGTCCTCACCCTTCTTAGACCAAAACATTACAATATAGGATTATACAATATTATAGTATTATAATATGTATGTTTAGTATCATGTAAATGGTGTAGCTTGTATAAGGTTGCAACCTGCTGGAAAGAGTCTCCAAAACCTACTAAAAAGGGCCTTTCAATATTGAAAAAACCCTTTAATCTCGAGATATATTGATATGAATAAAGGGTTTCATTGTGAAGTCCAAACAAAAGTGCGTCTTATAACTCATTACTTTAGTCATGAAATCATGGATCAGCTTGCAAGCTACTGTGAATTGTGATTTTCATAATGGGGCTTGTTCATCGTCATGAAGGGTGATAGTTATTGTAGGATATTATCATCATCATTTTAGTTTTTTTCTAACTAATCTATAGAAGAAGGAAAAAGTTTATATAAGGTTGCAACCGTAAAATGTAGAATTACAGATGTGCCTCAAAAATCTATCGGAAAAAGCTGTTTTAATGTTTAAAAACCATGCAATTGATCATCTCAACATCTAGATGTATGAATATGAAAGAAAAAAAGAATTTCAAGTCCCGAAAATAATACATCTTGCAACACATTATATAGACCGTCCATTTTCAAAATTTTCATATGTTTATAGATCTACTTGATTTTAGCCACCTTTTGAGTTTAAAACTTTATAATTAGATATAAAAATATATTTTCAGATATTTTTTATATCAAAATTACATGTTATGATAAAATTTGGAGATGCATCTTAATTAGATTGTTTAAGGTTGCAACCTTATAAAAACCACACCGGAAGAAATGGTTTGCACGTACTTCAGAAAAACTTCGCAAAAATTTTTACCCCAAGCATAACAGCATGACACATGTTGTGTCTTGCATGATGCATCTTGCGCATCTCAAAAGTTGTTCTTCTGCAAAGGATTTTTTCATCCAATTGTTAATTGAAATTTTAAGTATTCTTGAAAGAGTCAAAATGATGTGTAAACTTTAGAGAAAATATCCTATTATCTTCTATTTTTAACTTCTATATCTCTTCAGACCCAAGAATTGAAAATATTACTTGTAAGCAAAATGATTCCATCTTTTTTATCTTCCAACCCCCTAAATCCTTTTGATCATGTATTATTAACCTCAACAACTTATGAAATGATGCTATATCTCTCTCTCTAAAACTCCACTCTCTCTCACATCATCATCTCTTTCTCTCTCAAAACTCTATCTCTCTCTAAAACCCAAACTCTATCTCTCTCTCACATCATCATCTCTCTCTCTCTCTCAAAACTTTATCTCTCTCCCTAAACCTCAAACTCTATCTCTCTCTGTAAAACTCCATCTTTTTCTAAAATCCAAACTCCATCTCTCTCTCACACATAAGAAGGTGTGCTCGTGTTCGGGCTCAAGCTAAACCCCTTGGCTGATAAACTCATCGAGAAGCGAAGAGAGAGAGATGGAGTTTTAGAGAGAGAGATGGAGTTTGAATACGGTGTCATTTTAGTGTTTGTTTGGGTAAAAAATTTATGGTCAAAAGGGTCCGGGGGTTGTAAGATATAAAAGATAGAGACATTTTGCTTATAAGTAATATTTTTAATTCTTAGGTCTCATGAGATATGGAAGTTAAAAATAGAGGATAAGAAGATATTTTTCCTAAACTTTATACTATAGCACATTCTAATTCACTGAAAAATGTCCAAATCATCTTTTCGACCTTTTATATAAATGTATATAGGAAAACACTTTCCAATGCTCGTAGGCGAAGTGAATACTGTTTTTGCCCCTGCAACACACATACACGCACACACAACACACACACACACATATACTCTATGTGTGCAAAAAGCAAACTAGGTTATATAAAAAATGATCCAAACATGAGATTTGTATAACCTGGGTACTATTGAAAAGCATCCAAATAAGTCCTATTTAAGTAACCAAGTTTTAACATAATCAAGTTTTGACATAATACGGTTTTGACTCAAAACCTAACCCATGGAGCCAAATGAGCCCTTAGCGTCTGTCAGGACTTTCTGATAATGTCCAAATTCATAATGGTGAAATACATAAATTAAAGATATTACTTATGGGGCATTCTTAATCACACAAAAGTTTCCTTCATTTCCACCCCAAAAGGAAATGTCAATCCTTCAATACTGGAAGTTAATAATCATGTCCCCCAAGAAGTCTTTCTTTCTGAGATCATTTAAGCACATATTTAACCAAGCCCGGGATGTGGATAGTCATGAAATAATCATCCCAATCAATGATCTGTGTATCAAAAGCCAAATTACTTCTAGGTGACACCATAGATCGTAGCTTTCCTGCATTCAAATCGTCAAACCTGCATTCAAAAAGGAAAATATGAAAAGGAAATATTAATCACATCGTGAAGATGCAGACATGGTCGAATTTCATTTGCTGATGTAAACTAGTTATCTCATCCTGTGATTAAGCAATCGACATGTTCGGAAGTTATGCCCTGACCAAGTCTGTGAAGGTCTCTAGAAAAACTTGTGTTTCTGAATCGAGTCTAGACCTGTCGGATTTGGCACAAGGCAGGGCAGCTGAGACCTGTCTCGTAACTGGTTCAGTGCCTGCTTCCTTGTTTCTTAACAATGGTCACATCCATGTGCTACCCAACCATTTAGAAAATAATTGGCTGTGCAAATTTTGCTTCTTTATATTTTGTCATCTAGGGGAAAGCACTACAAGATCAAAATGACAGGAACCTATGGTCATTCCTTGAAAACTAAGGTGATTCATTATATTTGTGGGATCTATATTATAAAATCTAATTTCAAGAAGGGCAAGGCCAATGTGATGGTGCTTGAATACATTTAGAAACCAAACAAGATCGTAAAAAGAAAAACAAGATCGTAAAAAGAAAAGGTTGAATAGGGTTTTGGAATCATACCATCCTTTAAAACACACATAGGGTTCATAAAGCTCTGCCAAATGCATCACATAGTTGTAATTCGTATTGAGCTTGTTGTATTGAAGTCGAAATTTTTGCAATAAAACTTTATTCACGAGTTTCAAGATCTGAAACAGACAAAACGTCAGATACTTAAACTTCAAAAAAGTAAACTAATAGTAAGGATTGTATACTATTTATTTTTATATAAAGAGGCCATAATCACCCATTGGATGTTAAATCCTACTATTTGATACACTCGGGAGTATCCTATCCATTTACTCTCTTTGGGTAAAACCCCACCAAGGATTAATTTAGGGAATCCCAAATTTTTAGATATAACCTCTTCAACCTATAGATTAACCTCATATATTTTTTCCCTAATTGCACCATCTATGTACTAGAATGTCTTAAGATTAAATAGAGACCATCTAGATGATGAGTCTCAAGATTAAATGGACTCAACGCTAGGTGGTCAGGGTGGTAGGACACCATAATATGATGTCTTGAGTTCCATGCCAATCACCATTTAAAGAAAAAGAAAAGAGAAAACAAAACACACAACTACTTTGAAATTGTACTTATCTCCACCATTCTTTAGCAAGGAAAATGGTTTAATAAGTGAATTTTGGGTACAAGTAAATGACTTTATACTCAAGTTTTCCCCAAATTATAGTGTGTGGTCCCAAAATCTTAATGATTTTCCTTAAGTTTGATCATTGTACGTCGGAATATGAAGGGTAAAAGTTTCTATATTTCTATTTTACCCTTAGTTTGAAAGTCAATTTGAAGCACACAAACGAGAAAAACTTTAGGCATTTGGGCCGTTCGAGAGCTAGGCTTTTAAATTGCCGAAATATATAACTCTCTGTTGTCTCCGTTCTTCTTCTTTCTTTCTTTCTTTTTTTTTTCTTTTTTTTTTTTTAAGCGTTTCAAATGTCCTATATTTGAATCCCATAACACCCAAGAATTTTTTTTTTGTGTGTGTATTTAGGTGATTTAAAATTCTCATTTGAATCACCCAAATACTTAATTTTTTTTTTGAATTTTGGATTGGTTCGAAAGTTAAACTTTCAAATTAAAAGTAAATGTGAGATAAAAAATCTCAAAATTTTTGGACAACTGGAAGTAAAATTTAAATAAAAAACCTCAAAAATTTTGAACTTCACCTTAAAAAGTAGGAAAATATCGACCCTTCTTTAATCCCAAAAAATGATATTGGGGAAATCTAAGAGGAAGAGAGAGAGAGGGAGAGTAAAGACATACCTGTAGAGGAAGATAGTAGAGAAATGTCATGTGCCATCGAAATTGGGTCATTGAGGTGAGGAGAAGAACCTTTTTGACCACAATGGGTCTGCCACGCTCATCACAGCACGGGTTTCTAGAGAAGTAGCGATGGCTAGTGTCTGCAATTAGGTCGTAGTTGATAGGGTTCCAAGTAGAGGAGGTAACATGGTAGATGTGCAGAGAGCTTTCACTACGGTGAGTTGCCATGGCCACGATCATAGCGTTCACCACCATGTCCCCTGGTATCTGTGGTGCCCAAGTAACATTTTGGTGTCAAAATTCTCACTTTTACACATTTGGTTTGAGTAAAAATATTTTTCAAATGAAAAAATTCTCTCTATAAATGTGGAAATATTTTTACATCAATTAGTTGTCCATTGGTGTGAAAGGATGCATTAAAACTTATTGATATGAAAATATTCCTATATTTAACGAGAGAACATTTTCATGTGATATTTTCACGGAAACCAAATGTGCCAGACTCTCTCACTAAGAGAGAGAGAAGAGAGAGAGAGAGAGAGAGAGAGAATTACTGCCATAAAACACTTATGAAGCTTACCACATCCATGATAACATTTGGTTTGGCTAGAAAGTAGTTGACCTTTCCCTTTGCAAAGTTCACAATAAGGCTATCAAATGTCCTGCGATGCCTCAAATAGCAATCGTAGTATTACCAAGTAAGAAAAGAAAAAAAGAGCAAGAAACAAATAATGTAAAAAGAAGATTTTATATAGTTCACTCCAAATGTCTACACATCCACAGGCATAGAATGCTTATGCTTATCTTAACGTGAATAGTTTATTAAGGAAAGTTGTAATAACGTGTTTAGAAAGGGAAGTAATATAAGAAGAACCGTCACAACATGATGGGTTGGTTTTTGTTTTATTGATTGGAAATAAAGTTAGATTTTAGTGAGAGATCTTGGCTCTTTGTTCTTCTTTTCTTCTTCGTTTGTTAATTGTGCATGGTAGAGGTTTCGGAAGGTTTCGGATCTTCACATTTATGCCTTCTTCTAATGATTTTCTTTTCAAAATATTATTTTCTCTCTCTAAAATTTGGTTGTATATGTCAGCTGTTTGCTGCCGGTGACTTTTCACGTGCGTCACTTACTAACCATCGATAAACAACTATTGAAACGACTCTCCCAATGGACATCACCTATTTTTCTTCATTCTTTTTACTTATGGCAACTATTACTGAGACAGACTAGACGGAAGTACAAGGGTAATGAGAAACCAAATTCTCTCTATGAAAAAGATACCACCCAAAATCTCATTGGGATATGTTTCTCTATAAGAAACAAACCTCTCACTTCACTGAGGTACAAGCAAACTGTTTCTCCCAACAAAAGTATACTTCTTTCTATAGGCTCTTTCAAAGGCTCTTCCTTATCCATGCAAAGGCCCTTGCATCTCTTTAGAAGGAAGTCCACGTTTCATATAAGGTGATCCAAATAAGGCACATATATTCCTTTCTCCATCATTTCATATATATTAGAATATGAATCCTATAATGATTAGAAATTCCCAATAAGAAATACATTTCTTTCGTATATAATTTGGTTTCCTAAAAATAAGAAATTCACATCCTACAAAATAGGACTCCCAATAAACATGAAAATTAGTTCCTATGAATATCAATCCTAATAATATAGGATTTCTTTAGGAAGGAGATATTAGTTTATCCAACAATCTCCACTTTGATGTCAAAATCATTTGCTCACTATTCCAACATTCATCAGGCATCTTTATGAATCTTTTATTTTTGCCAAATTATTTCATGTCTCATTCTTGCTAAGAAGATTATGATTGCCATCAAATTTCTCCACCTTGAACTTTGTATTTCAAACCTTTCTTGTCGTACCAAAAACTCCAAAACATGCTGTGATCTCAAAATTACTTGTTTGCTATTCTAACATTCATCAGGCATCTTCATGAATATTTTATTTTTGCCAAATTATTTGAAGCCTCATTTTTGCTAAGAAGATTATGACTGCTATCAAATTTCTCTACCTTGAACTTTGTATTCGAAAACTTTCTTGCCATCAAATTTCTCCACCTGCTCTTGTTGTGCACGACAGCTCTAAAACCTCAAACGTTTGAATTTTGACAAATAAAGAGCAAGAAAAATAAATCTGACAATAAGCAAACAATAAAAGAGAAGCCACTTAGATTTTACGTGGTTCACCCTAAATATCTATATCTACAAGAATGGCAAACTGAAATCCATTCAGTTTGTTGTGAGGCCATAGCCTGTAGACAAACATCACTTGGTTTTCCTCCAAAGATATCTTATTCAAGCTCAAAATTGGATCAAGGATACAATACAGTCTCATCTCAATCACAATTAATTATACATGTAACCTAATTATGTTTTTTTTATGCCACTCTTGAAATTCACGAGTGAAGGGCCTAATAGAGCATATTTCCACACTACATCTAGGGGTGGCAACAGGTCGGGTGTGACAGGACCCTAGACCTGAATAGTATTTAAGTCCAAAATTTAGACCCATACCCAGACCAGTTGGGTCTTGGGTATGATCGGATCCATTTCCACCATCTGACTAGGTGGTTTTTTTTTTTTTTTGGCTCTTATTTTTACCATCATATACCCTATGATTATGCACTTATTCTTCTTTTTTTCTTTTTTGCCAACAATACTGCAAATGTTACTAATTTTGTAATAATACGAAGACCTAGCGTACGCCTAAAGACACATGACTACGATCATATACCCTATGACTACGGGTATGGGTCGGGTCCGGCTGGACTCGAATAGTATTCCAGTAAAAAATATTGATCCATACCCAGACTCGAAGTCGGGTCTACCATTGGGTCTTGGGTTTGGTTGGGTCCATTGCCACCCCTAACTACAACTTAGCTTACGAAACAAATAAATTAAGAGGTGGGAATTGAGAAAACCTGGCGCCTTCAATCCAACCGGGGAAAGGATCAGAGAAGGTACTTGCTATTATGCTTGGCCGCATGATAACTACCGGTACTTCCTCTCTCAAATGCCCCATCAACATCTCTCCCATGGCTTTGGTGAAAGTGTATGTATTAGGCCAACCATGCAACCTAGCCCTAGTAAACAAAACGAAACAAAATCAAAGGAATGTCAACCTCCAAAGAACCATATATATATTACGGAAAGTTAGCTATAGGCCACCTGAACATTTCTACTCATAATACCCCAAAGTTTTCATTCAATCAAACAAAAGTAAGAAAGGTAACCTACCTTTTAGAAGTTGAGCTAGATGAAGAGAAGAGAGCAGTTTATTTGTGGTTCATGCTTAAATTATAGTTTCCCTTCTTCAAGAAAAAATGAAATGACCAGAAACGAAAAAAAAGAAGAAAAAGAAGAGGTAATATGTCTTATATTTAGGGTATTTAAAATGCATCATGTAATTTTAAATTTAGCTCATGTCTCTTTTCCTTATTTTTTCTTCTTTTTTTTTTTTCTGTGGGGAACCCAAATTGCAAGTGTTGACCTGCAATTTGGAACCATGAGTCAAATCTAGAGTGTGGGTCAACGCTTGGCCGCCACTACATGTGTCAACCAACCTGAGCTTCAATTGAGCACTCCAGTCAGGAGTGCCTATCGGCATTCTGAGCCTTGCAGCCACTTTTGGTAACCACACTTGAAAAACAGGCGGGATCAACACTTGAGGTGAATACCCAAGGGTATTTTGGAAAAAATAAAATACAAGAAAGGGAAGAAATAAAAAAAAAAAACAAAAAAACATAGTTGATATCATTCAGTGACCTTTTCAGGCCCAGCATTTTCATTGCAAGGCGTTGAGTTTTTTCGTCTGCCCCTTCATTCCTTGCCTTCTCCAATTCACTCTCCACAAGTTTCAACTTGAAGTCAATGTCTAAGTGAGTGTTTGGAATTAGGGTCTCACCAAGTTTAATGGGCTTCTCCATTATCAACCCCGGCTCATTCCCCGAAACATAAGCTGGAACATCCATATCAAGCAAAACATTTAGAACAATTTCTTTAACAATAAAAATTATACTAATAATAAATTTATCAGAAAAATAAATATACATGTTTTTAAATATCAATGGATTTGAAACTTAACAATGTAGCACGCCTCTTACAATAGAGAAATTGCATGTGCACTCTTTCTAATTTGATAGATATGGTTGATATCCAGAATTATATACTATGAGATCTACAAGGAAATCACAATCACTCTTAGTCTTTAAATGTCAAATTAGATAGCCAAGGTACGGGAATATATATATATATATATATATATATATATATATATTTATTTATTTATTTATTTTAACTTTGAGTTTAGTCAATGACATACAACCATCTAGTTTAAAATTTTTCAGACAAAATTGATTGTGATCTCCGTGTACTAAAAGTAAATGGACTCTTGTACATTTTTTCTTTAGGAAATCCCATGTTATATATAATTGACATTCATATCACAACTTTCGGAAGTTAGGATATCCATTGAAGATTCTTATTTGTGATGGATTCTTTATGTATAAGGAATAAAAGGAAAATAATATGTGTACTCTATTTGAGGTCACCATATGGGAATGTTGGCTTCCTCTAGCGATAGATGCAGGGGCCTCTTGTCCTGAGATTGGTAAGGCTTCCAAAAAGAGAGAAGTAGGCTTCGAAGAGAGATCGACGTTGTATTGCAGAGTGAGAGGTTCATTCCATATAAAGATGCAATTCTCATGGAGCTTTTAAGTGGTATTTCTTTTTAGTGGTAGAAAACGTCACGACTGCATTTAAGGTTGTGTTTCTTGATCGTGGTTTAGCTATATAATAGAGATGAAAAATCGGCAGGTGACGTTTGGTTTAGATGGTTTTCAAGATTTTCTTTTACTCACATCGGTTCTTAAATCCTTACATGGTCTATGGGGTCTCTATAGATTCTAATGAAGAAGTTAGCGGTTGGCATTTGTAAAATTGGTACAGTAGATTTCTACATTCTTGGCAAATATTGGAGAAAATTTCTTATTCACTTCGTCCATCAAGGAAAAGTGGATAAAAGGACGCAGTCGAACAGTCTACACTCATAAAAGTATATGACACACCACGAGGTACATCCACCATTCCTTACTAGTGAGGGTCGGCACCCACCCGGATTATGTCAATGTCACTAACCAGTTTCGGTTTCGGCCGGTTTGGGTGATCCGGTCAGATATTTTAAAAAGATTTCAAAATAATTACGTAAAATTTCAAAAAACAAGGGATTTGTTTGTAATATATTTTTTAATGCTTTCAATCATTTTGGTAAAGATTGAAAATTGGTTTGGTCATTAATACTTATTTTTATGTTTTTCCATTTTTCTTAGAAAATTTCAAAAAATACCCTTAGGCACAAATCAATTTTTTCAAATACTATTTTTTTTTTTTTACTAATTTTCAACTTCATTTGGATGTGCTTTGTTTCATCATGCTTTTAATATATTTTTTCATATTTTTTAAATTTATTTATTTTTAGGAGTTTGTTGACCAATCAGGACTTGCCCGGTTAGGCCAGTTGAACCAACCAAATTACCGGTTACTACAGAGTAACCGTTACTTAGCCCTTGGCTAGTTTCTGAGGCCGATTTGAAACTAGTCTAGGGTCATAAAAAGTAAAAGGAAAAATTTTATATATATAATAATATTATGGGAAGTTTCGTACTTGGTGAGGATTTCTAACTTTATATACATGGGATGAAAGATGAAAGAATATGTGTCCTATTTGGGTATGGGAAACGTGGCTTCCACTAGAGAGAGGCAGGGGCCTCTTGTGCATGAGAGGCAAACCTTCCCTCAGAGAGAATAGAGCTTCCTATAGAGAAACACCATGGCTCTTGTAGATTGAGGTTGGTTAGATTTTGGGTGGTAGTTAGAGAAAGTATGAGTTGCTCTCAAGGTCTTCTCTTTTTAGTTAGAAAAAGTCTCAATTGCTCTCAAGGTTATCTTCCTGGACTGTGGTTTAGCTGTAGAATAGATATGAGTCTTTTTCTAAGCAGTGGTTTAGTTATGGAATAGAGATGAGAGATCGATAGTGGTGCCAGTCGAAAGAGTGGGTCTAAAAGCGCTTGATCAACTGGGCTTTGTCGAGGGTTAGAGAGGTAACTTTATATCTCAAAATCCATAATGTATTTTTCATCGGTATAGTGGAACCACGTAAATCTTGTTGTACGTGTGTTTTATGCTTTATTTCTTCTATTAGGCCTCCTACTCTCACCTATTTTGTTTCAGCTGGATAAGTACACAATCATAATGGAATCCAACTTTTGGGATTCTTGTTCCTGCATCTAAAAGGGCTATTAAATCCTAACGTCTTAGACCCACCTCTCTTTATACACCTAATGAATAAGATAAATCTAACTCTACTAGAGCAATGACTCCAAAGTTATCTTGATCAAATAGATTACAAAATCTAAACCAATACGTTCTATATTGTACCACTTTTAAGGACTTCCTAATGACAATGGGGCTGGGATTGTAGTAGTTGTACCACCTAAGTATAGAGGATAAAAGCCAAGAAAAAATAAAGGAAAGAAAAATAATATAACAAAGTTAAAAGAAGACAGAAACAAAGATTTACGTAGTTTGGTATTGGATTACAAGTTTGTATTGGATTACAAGCTTTCTCTCAAGCCCCTAAAATAAATCTCTCTCTTTAGAATACCCACTCAAGGGCTAAAAAAAAAACCATTTTCTCTCTATTTTTGTATATCTTCTTCATTATTTTCTCTCTAGCGAAACTTAACTCATGTGAAGAGAAGAACCCAGTAACAACTCACATCAAGCCTCTCTCTCTATTCCTTTCTTTTAGTAATGAGGAAACTCACATGAGGCCTCTCTCTCTATTTTTTATTTTTTTTTAGTAACGAGGAAACTCACATGAGGCCTCCCTCTCTATTCTTTCTTTTTTTTTAGTAATGAGGAGTCTTATCCCTCCATGAGATCACGTGCCATGTAAATCCATTGGGATTCATGCAGCTCAAATGTTGTATTGTCATAAATATGAATAAAGAATCTAAAGATAGGTAGTTATCAAATGTGGCAGGTTTCTAAAATCAAGGAACCATACCAACATAGCTTCACGCCAACACTGAGCCCAAGTTGAAAGGTCATGGCATCTATTTTCACTAATAATTTCAAAAAATTGACTCTTTCCAAAATTAGGGCAATAATCCCACGGACACCTGAAAAAGAAAGGACTTCTTAATATTAGAGCCCTAAAAAATTGGTCGATTTGTACCTATTCAATTCAATCCCTTGCCCATCTACAACTTGCGTGGGTGAGAGAAACTAAATATTGGTGGTGGATTCCACCCCCTTTTAGAGAGAGAGAGAGGAGAAGATGGAGGGAGATAGAGAGTGCCGCATTTTAGAGAGGGAAAATTATTTTATGTGGGTTGGATCTCATTTCTACAATATGCCAAAGGTATAAAGTATCCATTTTAAAACTGAATGCAAATAGGCGGTCCATCTAAAAACAAGTATGACTAACGGTCCGAATGTTTTTTTAATATAATTAATATTTTTAGTTTTTAATTTTTTTGTTTTTTCATATTCATGATCTTCATGTTAAAGATTACATATTCTCTAAAAATTGATCAAACTATATTTAAAAAATATATTTATTGTCAAGCTCGCATTTTTACAATATGGGCTTGCCGCATAGAAACCATGTACTTTAAAGAGAGATACAAAAAGAGGTGCAACAGTTCCCCTTTGAGAGGGATGAGACCTTTTACAGAGATGAAAAACGAGGTGGAACTGCCCCTCTTTTATTTGGACAGAAAGGGTTAGGTCATTCTTCGTAGGTTGCATATAGAGAGGAAGTTGTTCGCATTTAAATAAACTAGAAGAAAGAAAATTGAGAAATAAAAAAATAATGTAAAAGTAAAATAAAACCGAAATGAATTTTAAAGAGTTAAATAAGCTTAAAAAGTTGAGAAAATGGACATTCAAAAATCAAAAAAGGAAAAAAAAAAAAATGAGAATAGAGATATTGGCAAAAAAAGAAAAAGAAAAAAAAAAAGGCTTTCTTAAATCTGCTCATCTCTCTAGTTGAAAGAAGGGTTGTTTCTTGCAAAAGAAGCGAAGGGTTGAAACAATGGTTCTCTCGTTTAGATCTTCTTGTCTCTGTCACCACCTTCCCAAATGATATTTTGTCCCTTTTCTCTTTTTTCTTTAATTTCTTTGGGACTTTTTTTTTTTATTTTTTAACTTTTTAAGGCAACACATAACAAGTTCATACAAACTCGCCCAAGTTAATTGTGTAGGAGCCGAGTTCGAGCCCAAGCCGAATATTTAAACCTCGTTTGCACGTACCAGTTGAAACATGAAGCAAGACCTCCATCCTTCTCTCGCATTTCTTGGCGAAGTCAATAACATGGAATGCTCCCAAAGTGTTAATCTTCAACGCCACGTCGTACCTGCGCTCATTCTCCATCGTTAATTCAATTACTAAAGAAAGGGAAAATTAAGTAAAACCTCCTTCATCAAATTTCTACAAATAAACCTCCTAATACTTTTTTTTGTTTCTTTTGGGTAGTTCAGTGGGATGACGAGCTCTACCCGTTTTTCAAAATCGTTGGTGGTTTTTTAATGCGTTAGGTGATAATGAAAGTCTAGATCTTAGCTGTGACAAAAGTGTTGCTACCACCATGACCTGTAGCCTATTCTCAACTTCTTAATACTTTTTTATCCACATCATAGCATCATAAATCTTGTTATTGTTTTCTTTTACCGGATAAAGATTTTTAGGTCATTTTGGTTTTAAAATACCCCTCTCAATCAAGCATACATTTTTTTTTAATTAGAAATTTAAATATTTTAAATATCTTTGTAACTTACATCCCTACTACCAAGGGATTGATTGTTGACCATCATCCCAAGAAATTCAAAAAATCGCATATTTCCATGAAGGGATAACACATGTTGTACCTCTATATTAACAACCTTTGTAGAATGAAATCATACCTCAATTGGAAGTTTTCTTCCTCTTTCAAATTTTAAATGTTTTATCCTTTTCAAATTTGACATGGTATCAGATTAGACATTGTTTGGTTTGTGAGCCTCTTCTCTCCAAAAGACTATTTTACCTCTCCTTTGCTTCCCATTTCCACCACCCGTCCCTTGCATAAGTGAGTTTGGACCATTTGCACCACACGTTCCATTGAAGTGAGTTTGGACCATCTCTCCATCATACACCACATGATCCATAGCCATTGCTGAAAGCTGCTTCCACTTCCTCAACAGTAAGCCACTCTTTCTTCTCTCCTTTCGAGCCTTTTTTTTAAAAAAATTATTCACTCACCATGACCAACGAAACAGATGGTATTTCTTTACCAAACAACGATGCCAATACTCCATATTTTTTACACCACTTTGACAGTCCAGGGACTGTCCTTGTCTCTCAACCTCTCACAGAGGATAACTATTCCACATAGTCCAGCACTATGCAAATGGCCTCGAGCGTCAAGAATAAATTGGCTTTTATTGATGGAACTCTGTCCAAACCAGAGTCTTCTTCTTCATTTTCCTTATGGAAAAGATGTAATGACATGGTATTAACATGGTCCCTGTCAAAAGACCTCCAAGAGAGAATCGTTTGTGCATCTACTTCTTTTGAAGTTTGGTCTGATCTAAGAGACCATTTTTCATAGAGCAATGCTCCGTGCATTTTTCAACTTAAAACAGTTTCTAGCTACCTTTCAACAAGGATAATTATCTGTTGGTAAATTACTTTACCAAACTAAAACATGCATGGGATGAGTTATCTTCTCTCCATTCTTTTTCTCCATGTTCTTGCAATGTTATAAAAACTTTGACATATTATCTCCAACAAAAACGTTTAATTCAGTTTTTAATGGGTCTAAATGACTCTTGCGAATTGGTTCGTGCCAACATCCTTCTCATGGAACCACTACCACCTGTTTTCAAAGCTTATTCTCTCGTTCTTCAAGAGGAACGGCAACGTGACATTCATCTTATTGCACCAAACACTGAGGCTGTTGCCTTCGTAATAACCAAACAATCTAGCAGCAAGAAGGGTGGGACACGACCACCACTACATTACGATTTCTGTCATAAAGACAACCACACAAAAGACCGTTGTTACAAGCTCATTGGCTATCCCAAAAGGCTGCCCAAGCCTCATGCAAACAACATGCAAGCAACACCTAGCCAACTGTCCTTGCCTAGTGGATCACAGTTCACAATCGAACAACATCGGCAACTATTGGATCTTCTCCAAGCAGGTAGTTCCAACCATTTGGCCAATCTTGCTGGTAAGTTTCTTTGCTGCTTCACTTTTCCCTCCTACAATGATTTCTGGATTATTGATAGTGATGCTACAGACCATATTATTTCATCACCATCTTTCTTTTCATCCATCCAACCTTCACCACCCACCCATCCTGTTAAATTACCCCATGGAAGCATGGCATCTGTTTTACACATTGGTACTGTTGTCCTTTTTGATCGGATTTCCTTAAAAAATGTTTTATGTGTTCTTTCCTTCAAATTCAATTTATTATCTGTTAAGAAACTTGTCTTTAATCCCCACTGTTCAGTAACTTTATTTCCCACTCATTGTGTTTTTCAGGACCAGTTAATGAGGAAGACGATTAGAGCGGGTAGGGACTTTATCTATTTCAATCTCCTAATAATGTGATTGCTTCCTCCGCCCAACACCCACAATCTATGGACCTATGGCACTGGCGTCTTGGCCACCCATCTAATGCTAGGTTACAAAATCTCATTAAAACATATTCTAATATTGTTTATTCTTGTTATTGTCATGTATGCCCTAAGGCAAAATAATCTCGATTATCTTTTCCTTTTGGTTCATATTCTACCACAGAACCTTTCCAACTTATTCATTGTGATATATGGGGCGGTTATGCTACCCCATCTCTTTTTGGTGTGCACTATTTTTTAACCTTAGTTGATGATATCAGTTGTAGTACTTGGGTAATTTTAATGCGACATAAATATGAAACTAATCATCACGTGAAAGTTTTTTTACCTTGGTTAAAACTCAATTTAATTGCTCAATTAAATCCCTTTGCACCGATAATGGAACTGATTTTTTTTCCAACGATATGCAACATTTTTTGCAAACCCAAAGTGTGTTCCATCAATATTTATGTATAGAAAGACCGCAATAAATTGGTGTTGCTGAACGGAAAGATCGTCACCTAATTGAGGTTGTATGGGCTTTGCATTTCCAAGGTAATTTACCCCTTCAATTTTAGGGAGATTACATCTTAACCGACGCTTACTTAATTAACAGGGTACAAACTCTAATTCTAAATGGCAAAAGTCCTCATGAAGATCTTTTCAACTCACTACCAAAATATAGACATTTAAAAGTCTTTGGTTGTCTTTGTTATGCCCACAATATACACCATCAACATAAGTTTGATACTCGTGCTCAAAGATGTATATTTGTTGGCTATCCCCATGGCCAAAAAGCCTAGCGTTTATATGATCTCGATAATCACAAAAAATTTACCAGTCACGATGATGTATTTTATGAACATATTTTCCCATTTCAAAATGCTACACTACCAAATTCCTCCAGAAACGCTATTCCTCTACCATTACCAGATCTACCAATGCCATTAACCATAAAAAACCTTGCTCCTTCCACATCCACTCCACACAACCCCTCTGCACCGTCCCTCACCCCTAATCAATTACCTACAAGAGTCGTTGAGCCCAATACGTACATTCCTCCACCTACTGACTACGCACCAACTGCTCTTCGCCGTTCTGAATGAACCAATAAAAGACCAACCTATTTGGAGGATTATCATTGCTCCATTGTTGTGCCCTCTACCCTTATTGCAATGTCCTCTTGGCAACCGGTCCAAACTCCCCACCACCTGTTGAGTGTTGTCCTTTCTTATGACAAACTGTCATAACCATGTCGCACTTTTGCTACTACGATATCTTCTTCCATTGAGCCTACACCCTTTAAATAAGCATCACTTGATCCACATTGGAAGGATGCTATGACCAATGAAATTTCAGCCCTTGAAGCAAATAGCACATGGTCTCTTGTGGAACTACGTGTTGGGAAAACGCTCATTGGCTACAAATGGGTATACAAAATATATTATAAAGTCAATGGGACTCTTGAACGTTATAAAGCTCGCCTAGTTGTCAAAGGTTACAACCAGCAAAGAAGGCCTTGATTATCACGAGACATTTTCCCCAGTAGCCAAACTGACTACCGTTCGATGTCTTCTTGCACTAGCAGCTATAAAAAATTGGTCCCTTCACCAACTTGATTGTGCAAAATGCTTCTTTGCATGGTGATTTGAATGAAGAAGTATATGTAAAAGTCCCACCCAAGCTTTCACATATGGGGGAGCACAGAGTTTGTCGTTTAAACAAGTTCGTTTGTGGACTTAAACAAGCCTCACGTCAATGGTTCACCAAGTTTACAAAAGCTTTAATGGGCATTGGTTATACTCAATCCAAAGATGAGTATTTCCTCTTTACTCGTCACAATGGCCCGTCTTCCACTTTTGCCCTTGCATAAGTCGATGACATTGTGATTTCTGGGAATGATCCTGATACCATTGCTTGTCTCAAAGAGTTTCTCAAGACGCATTTTCACATTAAAGATTTGGGTCCTCTATGATATGTTTTGGGCATTGAGGTTCTTAGATAAAAAAATGGTATTTTACTTACCCAACGGAAGTATACTATTTAAATACTTCAAGATATGGGTCTCCTTGCTACTTGCCCTTTGGCATTTCCAATGGAACAAAACTTCAAATTGAATTCTATAGATGGTCCTTGCTTAGAAGACCCCGCTTCTTATCGTCGGTTAGTTGGGTACTATTCACTCAGCCTGATATTGTATATTCAGTTTATATTCTCAACCAATTCATGAGTCAACCATGGAAACCACATTTTGGTGTAGCAATCCGAGTATTACACTATTTAAAAGGGACTTCAGCCAGGGTATTATTCTATTTTGTTACTGCATAATGTTAGGTCACAGTCCACTCTCTTGGAAAACAAAGAAGCAACACACTGTCTCTCGTTCTTTTGCTGAAGTTGAATATCGTGCTATGGCAGTCATTTTTTGTGAATTAACATGGCTAAAATATCTATTTTTGGATCTTGGTATTCACCACAAAATTCTTATGACACTCTATTGTGATAACAAAGCTACCATTCATATTGCTGCCAATCCCGTTTATCATGAGCAGATAAAGCACATCGAACTCGACTGGCATCTAGTCAGGGAAAAGATTCAACGAGGACTAATTCAAACCGCTTATGTTCCCACCAAGCATCAACGTGTCAACATCTTTACAAAACATCAGGGCAACGACCAATTTCATTTTTAACACGCAAGTTGGGTATTCTTGATACTCATGCTCCAACTTGAGGGGGAGTGTTAGGAATTCAAAATTTTTAAATATCTTTGTAATTTACATGCCTACTATCAAGGGAATGATTGTTGACCATCATCCCGAGGAATTCAAAATTTTCAAATATCTTTGTAACTTACGTCCATACTACCAAGGGATTGATTGTTGACCATCATCCCCACAATCAAAGATTACATCCATGCATCAAGGGATTACACGTGTTGTACCTCTATATTAACATCCTTTATAGAATGAAACCCTACCTCAATTAGAAGTTTTCTTCCTCTTTCAAATTTTAAATGTTTTCTCTCTTTCAAATTTGACATTGTTTAAGGCCGATATATGCTTTGGAGGCCTGGACGAACCTTGGCTCTAAGAGTTTTCCCCAAGATTGAGCAAGCCTTAAATTCAAATATAAATGCGTTTAATGGAGAGGGCATTCATCCAAAATGACCCAAAATATCAATCGGTATGGTCATTACAAAGAGAAAATAGATTTTAACCAACTTTCCAATCTCATAAAACATAAAAAATAAAAAATAAAATAAATAAAAATTAAAAAGGAGAAGAAGAAGAAATGCATTTGCCTTTTTTTTGTCATTTTTTTTTTTTTTCATTTCTTCTCTTTCTTTTTCTTGGTTGGGATGGAAGTTGAAATTTTGAAATGCCCAAATGCATCAACTTTTTGTGTTTGAGCCATTGTTTGAAAAACTACCCGATCTAACCGGCAATCGCCCGGTTAGATCGGAGCCGGCTGGTTCCGATTTCAGGCAGGCGATCTTGGTGATTGGCCAGTATTTTAAAAATAAAATTCAAAAAATTTCTATAAAATCTCAAAAATAAGGAATTTGATTTATAATATATTTTTTAATATTTTTTACATTATGATAAATAGTTAAAATTGTTTTGGTCATCACTTTTAAATCCATTTTTTC